CACACACAAAGGAAACTGTCTTCAGTGCTATCAAAACGTAACTTGTACTAAATGTATTGTCGATATTTTATTTTAAGTAAACTTATTATAATTGTAACTGGTATTGGTTTTGTATTGTAATAAAACAAAAAAATTTATTAAAGAAAAAAAGAAATCACATTCTCCGGTGTGTTCCATAGTGGGCACGTGAAGAGTTACATGGAGCATCTTGAAAACAATAAACGATAAATCAAGAGTTCAACTAAAAAAATCAGCATACCCCAACGGTGTTACCATCAGTAAAATCGTATGATGTTTATCAACCACATGTTTAATAAATCGAACGATTCTTTTGCCAGACTTGCAAAATTTTTGACCATCTGTACCATCTTTCGAGTTTGGCCGTTTGTTTCATAACTGAAGCGAGGCTGCCAAAAATATTTGCAGTTACAATACTTCAGCTGCAACATATTTGAAAGAGAAATTACTCATAGCTTTCTCCTGTGAGCTCAGTCAACTGGGATGACGGTGTTTTCTCATCTCCCCTAAGTCCCGTTCCTTTTGATAGCAACAGTTACGGTGTCACAAAATTTTCGTTCCTTCACTTTGGTGTTAATTCTATACAGGTTGTTGACTTTCATCAATCGTTTTGTGGCCAGGAATTGTTTCTCAACCGAATTCTGTTTCCCTTGGAGTACACGAAACAGATTTTTGAACATGATTCTTTGGCGCAATGTTAATAACCATCGGCGGACCAGGGGTCGAATTCGACTAAAATTCTGGGATCAGCTAAAAGTCAGATGGGCAATTGAGGATAAAAGCCTCCATGTAGCAAGCCAGCGGAATGCACAATGAGAACGCAGGACGCAGTAAGGATCTGGGTGTCAGATAGGATTTAAGTACGAGGGTGGACTGTACGAGAGAATGCGCATGGGGAAGGGGGGTGAAAATGAATGGCGGCAGCCTTTTTACTAAACTGAGATCAATAAGTTACGACGATGACGATTGTTCTGTACATCTCGACTGTCCTGTCAAACTATTTGTGTACAAAATATGCGAGATATTTTCTTATTACATGTAACATAAATTTGGAGAGAAGACAAAAAAACGCCTTGGTGCGGGTATGAACGCCAGGCAGTCACAAAAACCCCACCCCCTACACGACGATTAATGCGACGACCAAACTAATTTAGTCAAAACAAAGAGTGAATGTTGACAAAATATACCCTTCATCCGTTAATATCAGGTTGGAGTTAACGTTCCCTTTAAGCCTGTAACAACACAGACGTGTAGAAAACATTTCGCAGAAATGAAACATAACTATAAGTGTATAATTTTACAGTAATATAATATTTCCGAATATATTTACATAAGTAATTCCAACCTTTTTCATTTTTGTTTTCTTAAATGTCACACTTTCACTGATAAAGTTTCTTGTATTTCACAATACTGCACATTCAACACCAATTTTCACTTTACTTCCTAAAAATTTTGTACCAGATACCTATATTCAAGGAACATTTTGTACTATATTGAGGGTGTTCACTGCATTAGGGTTCCACTGTCTGGTGTTCATAATATTCTGCACCAGTTTCCTCTTGTCAGGGACACTTTTTACAGTCCTGAGGGTGTGCTCTGCAATGAGGTCCCGTTGTTTGGCTATGTGTTAAAGCAATAACCTAGAGGGATTTTCAATGTTGAGTTTGAATGTCTCTAACCACCTTGCAGCTAATTCATCATCAATAATTCGCCGATCACAAGACAATGTGACCGTCATAACGCTCTGTACTTTGTCGTCGGCTGTTAAAACAGGGCGGGTTCCACCGACAGCCATGATACAAGCTTGAGGTGGATTAATCACCGCAGAGAACTCGGTGATTCCGAACATTCCGAGGTTGGAAATGGTGAACGAACCACCTTGGAACTCGTGCAGCTGTAACTTACCTTCCCTAGCGCGATTGGCGAGGTCCTATTGCAAAGAAAAGATACAACTCAGTTCATGTGTGGAGCTTATAAATTCTATTTCCTTGATCTTTCGCTTATCGGTATCGCGCCTAGATATTTTAAAAAGACGTCTTTATTTTACAGAGCATTTTTGAGGTTTGTCTACGATTTTATGAACATATTCGGCGGAACATATTCCTTTTCTTTCGAAAACATGTGTTTCGGGCAACATGCACATTTTGTCAGGTAACCGCTCGAGTAGGAAAGCACGGCAAGTCGGTGTGAAACTCCTGGCTCAACGACAAACGAATGCGAATATCAAATTTCGAAATAAGTACGTTGGCACATTGTTTACCCCAGAAAACCACAATTTCAAGATTTACTCCGTCAATAAAAACACTCAAACGTGAAGTGGCTCATTTAAGCGTGTGGTATCTCGAGCCAGATCCTTGTCAGTATCTAAGCACTGCGCACCCTCCCCTCCCCTACCCCAACAACAGTCCACTGATAACGATTTAAGGTTAACTTTGGGTTAGGGAAGGAGTGGGTGCAGAGTGCCTTGCGTTTGGTTCCTTCTCCGTGCTACGTGTTCACGTACTTATGTTTGGACTTATCTACTCTACCTTGAGAACAGTTGAGATCTCCGCAATTTTTAGGGCGTCTGCTGTTTTGACAATAGGTGTTATAAGCCCAGCATCAGTTGCTACAGCGACAGAGATGTCCACATCTTTAACAAGTTTAGCTTCTTCACCGTTCCAAACAGCATTCATCTCTGCGACCTGCCTTAACGCCAAGCCCGCTGCTTTGATAATAAAATCATTCACCGAAACTTTTATTTCGAGACTATTCCTTAACTTCAGAAGATCGTCCATGACACAGTCTGTTGAGGCATAGGTATGTGGAACAGAAGCTTTAGACTCTGTTAGTCTCTTGGCAATGGTACGGCGCATGTTAGTGTTGGGTAAGTCTGTGAACTGCTGACCAGCTTTTGGAAGGGGAGGAGGCTCTGATGAGACTGGCTGGGGCTTTGAAACTGAAACATAAGTTACAGTGAGCTGTAATTTAAAATGGTCATGTTACGTGCAAGAAAAAGCTTGATAAACCCATTCTAATGAAAGACAAGGCCTCTAAAAATTGGAGTTTTTTCGCTTCAAGTAAAGTAATCTATTGTGAATAAGCAACCATTCACAGGCATTCCAACATGACTGCTAAATGTACCCCACTTTAGGAAGGATACTTATTGATCACAGGAAATTGTACAAGTCCATACGCGATCGTTAGAGAAATTCACAATTTGTTGACTTCTTATCTTTTCAAGGTTTTGTCAGACTGAGTACTGAATGGAAACTTTGAAACCCATGGCAGATTCAAAACCTGGACACGTACCTAAAGAATAAAAAATCTGATTTGTCATTCTCCCATAATATCATTATACATTTCTTGTATATTGGTATAGAGAATTTGGTTGTAAATCAAAATAAAACCTTAAATATTCTTATCACCTTTAACCCTTTACACTCTAACATCAGTATGCATTTTCTCCATACTATTCTCTATATGTTCCCTTTGGTACTGTAAAGGAGAATTTGTTTAACAATAAGATTCTTAGGTTGGTGATCATTTCACTTATTCTCACCATCTTCATGAATGATTCAGCAGTATTACAGTAAGGAGAAATTTGAAGCTGATCACTCTTAGGGTTTTAAGGCTAAAGCTGGATAATGTGTATAACTAAAAGTAGGAGTTACATGTTAGTTACCGCCTCCTGGTTAGCTCATTTGGTTAGAGCACTGGACTGTTGTGCGGGAGGTCGAGGGTTTGAGCCCTGGCCAGACCAACACTCATGGTCTTAAAATAACTGAGGAGAATGTGCTACCTTTCTATAATATCAAGAAATGGACAGACATTCTAGTCTTCTCAGATAAGGACGAATAAACTATAGGTCCCGTCTCCTGCATCTTTTATTAGATAATTTGATTAGGCAGGGGACGATAAAGAATGCACATCACGAGATTACTGTGACGTGGTCTGGCCTGGTTACTGGGAATTGGGGGGAGGGGGCAACTGTAAATAATTTGCCTTGGTGGATTGTAAACTGCCACTGGCAGTCTGGTGAAGTCCCCCGCACAGTATTGTAAAGTGCATTTGATCATATCCACATGTTAATTTGCGCTATATAAATGTTAATTCATTCATTCATTAATAGAGTCCTCACTAATATACCTGTCAATGGTGTCTCAGGTGTAGGAGCCAGTTTTGGAGGTGACTTCTGAACAGCAGTAGCTTCCTCGCCTGGCTTTTTGAATGGCTGCCCTCCTTGTGCCACATATCTGAGCACATCACCCTTTAGAAGTCTGCCTTTTGGACCTGTTGCTTGGATGAGCCTGGGATTCAGGTGATATTTTTCGAGAAGCAGTCTAACAGCTGGTGACATCAGCACTTCAGTATCAACATGAACAGTAGGGGTTCCTTCAACTGGGGCAGCATCTTCTGCTTTTCTGGGAATTTCTTAAGGGAAGATGAATTCAAGGTCAGAAAAGGGTCTGCACATATTCTTTCCCAAGACTTTGTCAAAAAATATTTTGGTCAGGGTAGTTAACATGACTTCCACTTCCTTATAAATATTTCATCCAGCAGATAAGCAATCCTTACAGCTCAAACGACTCTAATATACAATTTTTTTGAGACTTGTATGAATAATCTTATTTTCCATAATTTTTTGGATCCTGCACACAAGTTCACAAACTTCCAAAGTACAGAAAGAACTCAATTTTTGCATCAGCTCTGTTTGTAATAAATGAACACTTATTTTCTCAAACTCAGTAAGAATTTTAAACATTGAATCAAAGAGAATTACAGTGGCTCTCTCTTCATTTCAGGTTGTTTGTTTTCTGTTTCAATTATTCACTGGTGTCACATAACAAAATACATAAGGAACAAAAGACAAAGTAAAGTCTACTTCCACAAAATCTCAACTTGTGTCAAGATAATAATTATTAGAATATCTCTTACTCCAAAAAACCAACCTAAAAAAATACCAGTCTCATTTTACTTCAATAAATTTTATCATAACAAACCAAAAAAAAAAAAAAACATGTATAAAAGCTAACTTTAGAACAAGTTAAGTCTTCAAGCCCCTTTTCTTTTCTGGCATCAGTTGTATGTGACATCATCATGGGTGTGGGTATCCTGAATGATTCCTTTGCAGCATCCAATGAAACTTTGGATTTTCTTAGCCATTAATACCTAAATATACATGTTCCCAGAGATCCATTACAAAATTGCAGATCCATTTTATCTGCATAAGTGCAATGCAGGACCCATTAAAACAATATCTGCAGCCTGTGTGGAGCTGGAAAGGTTAGTTTTGGCTTCAATCCCTAGATCTGAGAAGAAATTCACCCTTCTGGCTACCACAAATTTCCTTGGAAATTAGGTAGAAAAAAATTGGGTGTTATGTCAGGATAACATCCTCGTCAACATCTACATTATAAAATTATTTGCTGGTCTAAATTATGAAGAGGGGATACCTGTTGTTCACTTCTGAGAGTGAGATATATCAAGGTGTCCTACCTGTTTCCGGTGGCACCTCAGCCTGTGTATAATCCACACCTTCCTCCACCATCACTGCAATCAGTTGGTTTATTTTGACATTCTTGCTTCCAGCTGGAACAATAATCTTTGCCAGGATACCTTCCTCATCACTGTCCATGGCAATAGTGGCTTTGTCAGTTTCTATCTCGCAGAGAACATCTCCTGGAGAGATAGGATCACCTTCATTCTTCATCCATTGAATGATGGTTCCTTCCTCCATGGTGGGTGACAGTGCTGGCATGAGTATTTGAGTTGTAGGTACACCTAATGGGTAAGCAGAGAAACAGGTTTAGTTATGGAGACATCCTCAAAGAGGACACCTATAAAAGAAAAAAAGGTATAAACTTGATCATTACAAATTGAAAGTAATTGTAAATATAACCTATATCAGTTCACTTTACCCTTTGAAAACTACACGTGACTGGCATCTTATTTCTCCTTAAACCCATTAAGGTCAAGAGAACAAAGGAAATGCATGGTCACCACCTAGAGAAGCTCTTGATTATTAAATGAATTCTAAGTGTCAGCTCAATAGGAAATGCATAGAGAACAGTATTGGAGGATAAGTATTCTGATGTAAGATGTTTAAGATAATTAATAGATTCTGGAGATCCTGAAGGATTTAACAACCAATTTATCTTTAACACCACATCAAGCTCTCAAGAAATACCTAGATGATCCTGTTTTCAATCTGTTCAAAATCCCATTCCAGTTAATATCTTAGTAGTGATGAGTGAGGATTTATGGTATCTGATTTATTCCCTAACGGACCAGTTAAGAACAGAATCTCAAAACTTGTACCAAGCAGACGCCAACATGACTCTTGCTAGCATCCCCTAAGTGGGGGGGTGAGGTCAGGCAAGACTCAGGGATACTTCCATTTAAGAACTCTATAGCCAAGGTTCATTAATCTCAGTTGCTTTTCTTGGTAAGATCAAGATGAAAAAAAATTTCGTATAACCTGACAATGATGTTCAATGACTCGCAACTTCCTCTTGACCTCGCCTCAAATTCCACCCCCTCCCCCCTCCTTAATAGTGGATATAAAATAAAAGCTCCGAGTGGATATTGCTGGGGAGATTAAAGTTACCATCAAACAGCCAAAGCTAATTTGATTGCCAAATGATTTATGTAGCTCCCGTTCCGAAACGTTCGACATTAAAGTACGCTCGACTATGACTGATCGAGTCAACCCCAGCTCACGGGTTATCCATGGGATTCAAAAATTGTTAAAGGATTTGTTTATCTTTTGATTACGTACATTTATCCAAAAGTTGGACATACCTCAAAATATGACATTCAAGTCGATACTAAGATGAAGACAACATTAAAACGGAAGGCCATCTGGGATGCAAAGGCCGATTTTAGATTGGCGCATCAGCTGAGCTCAAACTGCAGCGCAGATCAAATGCTTCTTCTTACCTTGAAGAGGGATCGATGTCCTAATTGTTCTCTTAAAAACGTTTATGCCTACTCCCTTCGTCCTTGTAGACTTTGCAGTTGTCATTCCGGTGTTCCTCAAAAGACATGTTGCCGAATGTAGTCCTCTTAGCCCTGCCAACCTTGCAAGAGAGGCCGCCATGTTCCTTCCACCAAAGCCCGAATGGCCTAGTGGGAAAACAAAACCGTAAGATAAGTGGGAGGGGAGAGTGGAAGAGTTTTGATTACGTCCTCAAGCAGAACAAAAACTCACTTTCTCAGCAAAAGAACACGATAATTTTTTCAGAAGAGAGGAAGTGCTAGAGATGAGACGGCGACATGGTCACAAGAAGCAAGTGTGAACCAGCGAGTTCACTCGACTTGATTTTAAACAAAAATTCAATTCAATACATCAGACAAATAGGAAAAAATATACACATTTTTCATCAAAGTAAAAAAGTTAAAGGAATTTTACGGCATCATATAGAAAAAGGCATCACCTCCGGTGGGACTCGAACCCACAACCTTTGAATTAGAAGTCCAATGCGCTAGTCCATTGCGCCACGGAGGTTAAGCTGCGCCTGCCAGGTGAATTTATAGTATTTAAATCTTGAAGCGTAATATGCCAAATATGATACTCGTTTCAGTCTTTCTCGTCATGTGTAGTACGCCTTGTTGAAATTGGGACTTATACTGACTTACACCAGTCATCCTTCAACAGTCTCACAGGTTGGACAGATCTTCCAAATCTCGTTGGCTGGAAATTTTTGTGAAATTTTATTGACTGCTACTGTTGGATAACGACAGATCTACTTGAATTTTTGAGGCCGCAGTCGGATAAAATGAACCGGCTTCTGTCAAAATGTTATTCTGTGAAACCAAACTTACTAAATACACTTCGAGAAAATGGTATAAACACAGGTTGGTCTTTCTGTCCATTAATTTTAATAATCAAACCCCATAGTAGTCATGCATAAAGAATTTAAACCTGTTAACCCCTAAAACCGTGTACTTCTAGGAATCCAAACGGCATAATTTATATCACCAAAGTCCTTTTTTCTTTAATTTCAACAGTGCTCCGGGGATACCTTTTCCAAATTTGATAAGGCTGTTCAAATGTTTTTTTTGTCAAGAAAACTGTTTAAATTTAAGTGTTTTTTTTTTTTGGCCTATAATTTTGAACCAGCAATTTTCATTAAACAAAAATAGGTAAGTCTTCATTTTTAAGAGTTTCAAGATTACATCAGACACGTGATTTCTGATCAAAAGGTAACCAGCTGTGGATGGAGTTCGGCTATATATTAGTTCAACTTACTAGAGACTTGTTTTACCCATATTTTTTCAGTGGCTGAATTTATGTGCTGTGACACTGAGAGACTGGCTCAGAGAATCTCAGTTTCAACAGAGGTGAGCTACTGTTTATTTTTGGAAATGATTCTGTTACATGTGTATATTGACAGGGGGCAACTGAAGTCATTGAATAGAAATCTCCTTGATTCACTTTTATGCCTTTCCCTGCAGATATGTATCTGATTGGTAAAGAAAATAATTTGGTGATCTGTGTCAAAGTGCTTGTGAGTCAAAATTTTTTGGTGGTAATTTTTTTGAAGAATATTGAATTGAATTTTTGAAAATATGCAAAAGATGTCTCAAAAGTAACCCTTTGCTTTTACAATGCATACCTTTTTAGATTGAATTAATTATTTCTACCTTCATGCAACTGTCATGTTTTAAATATCTGTGTTTTTGTGGTTAGGATCTGTCATCCCTACGGGACACAATCACTACTCAAACAGCTGCATTCACCATGAATGGAACTGATTTATACCAGGAAATGATGTCAAGATATCATATCCTTTCAACAGGTAATCAGCCCTAAAATGATTTTCTTGGTAGCTCCTGCAAAGCTTTTACTAATGCATTTCAAAGGTAAAGTTTCACACCTTAGGTTTGTCATAAGTTACCTGTGAATATTAATTTTTTGGTCCTTCCTGTACCATCTTAGTATGATGAAAATTATGTTGAATGTCTATAAATTTGTGACTTCACTTCCATAACACATATTTGAACACAAAGTAAGCTATGGTAGTTAAATTCAATTACTTATCCATTTTTCTTTGTTTCCTTCTTTCCACAGGTTGTGATAAGTAAGTATCTTTCTATTTCAAAAAATGTTGGCCTATGTAGTCACAAACAAAGAAGAGAAAGAGTAACTTTATTTATGAAAATTACTAAATAAGCAAGTCAAACTAATTTATTTTCAATTAGCTAAATTTAAAGTCATTGGGAAAAGTTGCGAATCAAGCATTTTTTTGTGAAAATTAAATAAGGAACCTTTCCTTCAGTTGGTGTTTAGAGATACATCACTCTACTTTGTAGTAACTTGGTCACTGCCATTTAAACTGTAGTTTAGATGAGCTCCTTGATGGAGGTTTGCATACAGGAGAACTGACAGAAATTGTTGGAGCTGCTGGTGTTGGCAAGTCTCAGGTACTGTATAGCACAAAATGACTGGTACGTACCCCATCATTAACAGAAAAGGGTGTTGTTCATAATAATTTTTATCTTAGTGACAAATTCAAAATGTTTAAAATTATAATAAATATAATAAAGAGGAATGTCAAACTGAGTTTAAGTCAGGGCATGGTCCTTAAGGAGTTTGTGACCTGGTTTTTGCTATGAAATATTTAATAATTTGCAATGTGTGATTTATTTATTTTTTGTTAGCAAAAATTAAAAAACCTGCCCTGCCCAAAATTGCCAGCAAAAAGCCTATGAGACTTCTCCATTGAAAAATCTTGCTAAATTATATAATAAATTTAGTACCTCTACAAAGCTGCACCATGCAACTCAACTTTAAAAGTGCTATGTCATACTGATTTCTATTATTGAAGGCCAGTTTGAATGGAAATATGATAATTTATTTACTGGTAGTTGTTGTTTTTGCTAGATTTGTATGAGCATTGCCTTGTTCACTGCCATGGAAACAAAGAAGAATGTTCTCTACATTGATACAGGAGGATCATTCAGTGCCACAAGGGTTAAAGACATGTTAGGACAGCGGGATAATTCCTTAGCAAGTCAGGACATCTGTAACATACTGTCCAGAATATTAGTTATTCAAGCATATGATATATTCTCAATAATTGAAGCTCTTGAAAGAGCAAGAGAGAGGATATGTAACCAGGTAATTGATATTCTTCCTATTGGAATACATTTGTGCCACTGGAGACATAGTGATTGTGTAGTCATGTGGTGATTGCCTGAGTGAGAGTAGCCTCCAGTAGTCTTGAAAATGACAGCAACTGACATTTGGGCAATTTTTGAGTACCCGGTAGATTAAGTTGCAATCAGACTAATGAGGATTTGTTTGTTAGTCAAGTGCTTTAAGTTTAGTTCTTGAAATCAATTTTTGTTTTCATGAACTTGGTTCAAGCTATAGAAGAAAAGTCATAATAAAGGGGGTAAGTTTCTAATTTAAAGAAACTGTAGTGCTGTATTAACGGTGGTTTAACAAGATCATTTGGTTTTATGCTAAATATTAAATGCAGTAAATGGTTTGAACCCGGGGGTAACATGAGAAGGTGTAGTCTGATCGTCCGGGTGAGTGTAGTCCTGAGAAGGACTGTTGTCGGTGGCAGTGACTGACGTTTCGACAACCTGTGCGGAAGTCATCATCAGAGTCAAGTGAGTGATTGTTGTCAGTAGAATGACAACTATCTACTGACAACAATCTGACAACTTCTACTGACAACAATCACTCACTTGACTCTGATGATGACTTCCGCACAGGTTGTCGAAACGTCAGTCACTGCCACCGACAACAGTCCTTCTCAGGACTACACTCACCCGGACGATCAGACTACACCTTCTTAAATATCAAATGTTAATTGGCCACCATAAATACAGTCTCTAAAGCTGACATTGAACATTAGCCCTTTGTCTGGGTGAATGATGAAGGGTTAATGCTTAATTAAAACAGCCTTTAGATACTCTTCAGATACTTACCCTTCAGATACTCTTTTCATTGGCCAATTAACATCTAATTTTATAACTCACACATTTCCTTGTAAACTGCTCATAAGAATTTGGTATTAGATCATTAGATAACAACCTCTACCAGATAAGGTTTCTACATTTTGAAATCCTCTGAAATGTATCACCAAACAGATACAAAGCAATACAGAATGTTTTCACACTGTGAAACAAGAAGTTAATGGTGGTGTCATCCATAGATGTGTCCCCTAATAGACCATAAGTAAAAGTGTAAGTAGGATTCACCTGACAAGTATATAACAATTCCTCCATGATCAGTCCCAGGGTCTTCAGAGATTTTATAAGATCACTGGAAAACTTTTTAGTACAGAAGACTTCATTTTACAGCAGACTGTTACAAAATGTTAATTTTTTATGGTGGAAAGCACCATCTCATAAAATTATGAAAATTGACATCAATACCCTGTGATGCCTGTACCTCATAGGATGACGATGATGATGATGACATGCAACATCTTCAAATGATAATTGTGGATTGTGTAGCAGCAGTTATTTCTCCTATACTTGGAGGCCAGCAAATTCAAGGTACACAGATTTTAGAAAACTGAATTAATGCCATTGAGCTCTCGTATTTCTTGGTAAAGGTATATTTCAGCTATACTTTCTAAATGTAATTCCCATGCAAGGTAATTCCCTTTCTGTTGTAAACTAGGTTGGAAATTGGTGTTTTTTCATCAACATTAAACATACTCCCCCTAGCAAGTCCTATTTTGCTCTCATCTCCTGTAGCTTCATAGTGCAATAGAATCATGAAGAAGCTTACAGTACTGTCCTAATGCTTGTGACATTTAACTTTTTAACTGTTTGTGAGTGACCAAGATAGAATTTCTCCTAACAATATCAAGACAATATCAAGTAGACAAGTGATAAGAATAAAGAAAAATATCAATTAGGGGATTGCTAGTTGATCCAATACCAAATTCTCCAAACTAACATCATAGGAATTGTATGGCAAAGAGTAAGAAGAATTGCTGATGAGATTTTGGGAGTGAAAGAGTTTAACTTTAGGTTTTTCATTATTGGAATATAAAAAATGTAATCTTTAACACCTTGAATACACCCTGAAATGTCAGTGTTAAACGATGTGATTGAAAGTTGTTAATTGCTGATTATTTTCTTGCGATTTCTTTCTGTTTGTTTCAGGCCATTCATTGATGGTGGGCCTCTCAAGAATTTTGAAGTCATTAGCTGTTGGGCATTCAGTTGCAGTAGTGGTATGTAAACAAAACATCAGCCATCATTACTGAACACTGTGAAAGGAACTTCCTTCCTTTCTTTTTTTCCCCTTCTCTTTTCATTACTGAACATTTTTGTTTGGTGGAACAGTTTGGTCAGTAGCGCTTTTGATAGCAAATTTGTTTTCTCTGATTAATTTAGATCACCAATAATGTTGTAACCGATTCATCCAAGACATCATTTTCTACCAAACCAGCCCTAGGGAGGACTTGGGCTCATATTCCAAACACCAGAATATTCATTCAAAAGAATCCTACATCAGAAGCAAACAGTATCAGAAAAGAAAGTATCATAGCCACTTTAATCAAGTCATCCAGACAGGTAGGTAGATAACAATGATAAATAAATGTTTTATACTCAATCCCTTCCTTTAATTCTACATACACTTTTTCACAACTACCTTTTTTCTTTTCCCTGGAAATTTTCAAGGTTCAAAAAAGGGTTTATTTTTAAATTTTGACAAATGCTACATATCAAAAAATGTTATTGAGATGCTTTTCTAATAAAGCCTTTTCCTCTTTCCCCTCCTTTTTGTTTTGCACCTTCCTATATTTTACTCTGTGTGTTTGTGTTTGTTCATTTTTTTCTTGTTTGTAAGTACAGTGTAGGACCTGTCATTAGGGCTAATCCACAACTGATAAAAAAATTTTCTTTAAGAAATTAATTATTAAATTAATCAATTAATGATGATTGGTACTAAGAAGAGGTGTCACCTAATTGCCATTTACTCTTTATGTTAAGACTCTCCTTTTCACTAAATCTTTTTGTTTTTTGTGCTTTTGCACTTTTTTATGGCTTGTTTATTTGTTTTTGTTGATTTGTTTGCTTTGATTTTTTTGTTTTCATAGAGGTTACAAACGCCCTTTGTTTTATACATTAATCAAGGCGGTCTTTTCAGCCGTACATACACATAAGCAAAAAGTGTGTGAGGTCTTTACAACCCTTACTAAATCCAAATGATTACCAATCGAGTCACAGCCCTTGAGAAGAGAACATAGCCAATTCTACTGAAGTCTGCATTACTAATTACAATGACAACTGGCCACTCGAATGATCGAGCATGAACCATGTGATCCAAAACCACTACATCTTCATCTTCTCCAATGGTGCAAACTGGTACTCTTTCATCCTTCAAATGGGGAGAGAGTTCATCAATCCACTTTTGACCAGGGACCAGAATAAAAACTCTGTTATGGTAAAATCTATTGCCTTCCTTTGCCTATTCATTAATCTCCTTCAGGATGAACTTCAAATAGACGAGTCTGCCGGCGTTGTTCAGTGCCTGTAAATTCATGTTCCAGATGTGGAAAGGAGACTGGAGGTCCACAAACATTGTGACCAAGGTGTATCGGATGGTTCCAGTATTTTTCGGCAAGAGTATTCTGCTCTAAGTTTTTTCAGCGCAGGGAAATCCTAAGGCAACTCTGCAATATGCTGAATACCTCTGGCGTGCATATCATAACTGTCTTTGTTTCACAGAGCTCGACAACCAGCCTTGGAATTTCTTCAATTTCGTCAAAGCTGCTCCAATCTGTAGTCATCCGCTGATTGATATCATATGCAATCCACTGATAGTAAGGTCTGATTGATATCATATGCAATCCACTGATAGTAAGGTCTGATTGATATCATATGCAATCCACTGATAGTAAGGTCTGATTGATATCATATGCAATCCACTGATAGTAAGGTCTGATTGATATCATATGCAATCCACTGATAGTAAGGTCTCTGATGATGAGTCAAAAATTTTGTCAATGAACCTACATCTGGTAAACTTTGAAATTCATCAACAAAGGTATGGAACTCAGCCACACTTTCCCTCTGCTCAGGCAGAGAGGAGAGGAAAAAGGGTATCTGGTAATGCGTTACAATTAAAACTGTTCCTTCGTAAGTTTTATCTCTTTTAAGGAATTTCTGAAAGAACTTCAAACTTCAACGTTTCATTTTGAAGGGCTCAGAATCCTGTTCAAAAGCCTGCTTATCCTGTTTAAAATTGAAGTGGAGAAAGGAAATTTCGTTATTTGTAAAGAATTGTTGGTAGAGCTCACCAAGCCGTGTTGATACAAATATGACCACCTTTTCATTTTTCTTTACACATTCCAGAGCTTTGTGTTAGATTAAAATTGTTTTTCCACTCCCTGAGACGCCACAAAAGAGCTGTTGTTCGTGACGATCGTGAGAAACTTCTTTAGGAGGTTGCAAAGTTCTGCGACGTTACTGGTAAACCGCCATATGGACGCCAGAAACGCCCAATGTTACTGACACCATACACTCCATTTTGATCTTCACGTTATAGGAACTCAATCTCTTTTAAATCAAATATAAATATTCCTCGAAGATGCTAAGAACATCGCGTAGAAGGATAAGAATTTAATAAAAAGGAAAAGAGAAGACTTCTCTATCATATTTAGTTACACTTCTGGTGACTGCTCCTCTCACTATTTCATTCAGAACGACTTAATTACGCTTTTCCTTAACAGTTGAAATGAAGAGAAGAGAGATAGAGGAACGCAGTACTTTCACTGACGACTACTTTCAGTTTATTTTCAATAAACGTCTTAGTTTAAATGCAGATAAACAAAGTTCGGTCGCTTAAAGGAGCTAATTAACGATGATATGGCAAGCGCAATTCACAACCATACAATAAGGTAAATTAAACATGCATTTTAACTGATTCTTACATTATGTTTTATTGGAAAACAGACACAGATGATGTCACCATTCAATTTAATAACATTTTGCGCTTTTATTATGTGAAACAGATTGCATGTTGCCTTGCGTCTGTACAGTAATTGATCACACAAGACGTCAAAATGTGGACTGCACCTCCTCTGCCACTTTATTTGTCTTGCCACACTTTGACGTCATCTGTTATCTGTTACTGAACAGACACGGCAACATGGAATATATTCGTTAAACTGACGACTGATTTTCTGATCGGGAGGAAAAAAAATAACTTATTCTTTAAGTGTAAGTAAACGAAGTATAGCTTCTCTCGTTTCTGTAACGAGCTACTGAAAAAGAGCAGTGATCAAAGGAATTAATTTACGATATTTAAGTAAATTATTCTTCAAGTTGTTAAAAACTGTCGCTAATTGGAAGGAAACCTCTAAATGATAAATTTCCAGAATAGATAAGCATCACAAACAAACGAAGAAAACAGAAAGGGAACTGGTTAACGATGTCAAGAGTGACACAATTTTAAAGTGTAGCCATATTTTTTTTATGATGAAGAAGCTGGACAAATGCCTACAGTACCTTAACACTGCACTTAGGTCATGGGGATTAGCGCTTGCGGCCTGTTTAATGGTCCTTTTCCCCCGTTTACCCGTCCCCTAGGGGGATTCGGAAGGAGAGAAACCCCTGGAAACCTAGGATTTGTCCAATTACGGGCGAACCCATAGCTTACGAAGATGTGAAGTTAAGGCATAACAATGTGAAATTGCCAGGAGGAGTCGGAGTTGCAGCAGTACTACTGATTGGACCGATGCTTCCAGCCCAGTCTGGGAAGTTATGCAGGTCAAACATTGGTACTCCGTATGTGTTCACACAAATCACCAGTACTATTACGGCCAGAAGATTCATTCCCAAACCAGCTTTTGCCTTAAGTCAAGGAAAAAATAAAGAAACAACAGCCAGTTTTTGTGTGTCTGGCAAGGATGAAAAAGAATGTGCTAGGGCGTAGCTATGGGGAGGGGTCCTAGGGTGGCCGTGATCCCCCTTTTTAAGTAACACAGGACACGGAAGTCGACATGACAATCTGGTGAGTACCCTCTGTTTGACACAGTGTGACCCCCTTCCCTTTGAAAAATCCTGGTGATGCCTCTGATGGGTACGAACCATAACTTGGTTTTATCAACTGAGTTAATGATATAAATAAGTCACCATAAAGGATCTCTAAAGCTGACGTGTCGAGCCTTAGACCTGTATGCATGCCCGCTCTGACGAAGGGCAAACATTCGAAACGTCAGCTTAACAAACTTTTCTGTGACCGATTACCATTATAAACTCACTTTATAAAAACAAATTATCTTGTTATACCTCCCCCCCTTCCCTTCCCTTCCCTCCACCGACGCAGCACCACAGTTTCTAAAGAAACTCACCCCCTGGATAATAAAAGAACTTTGCTTCTACAAATTTCGTGCCGCAGGTAATAAATTAGTTCCCTGTGATGGAGCGGTTACCGATGGAGTGTCGTAAAACCAAAACCATAGAGATGACATCGGCCAATCAATACAAATGTGAATATCACAAAGATCCGAGGATCTCAGTAAGAAGTAAATACGTGTAAGCGGCCCGAAGCGCGGGAGAAACTGGGTGACCGAGCAGCGATTGGTTTTGGTTTTCCATCTGGTTGGTTTGTGGGTTTTCTAGGCCCAACCCCGAAATAGAGCATTGTCAATACAATCCCAGTTTGCCCTTCGCACTCAATTGCTCTATTTGCCTTTGTTACGAGTGTCCGTCGTGATTGCTTTGGCTTTGGTTTTGAACGTAAATGAAACACATTCCATCTGCGCCCAAGAACGTTCCGTAAACGTGTCCCAACCGCTTAGCAAGCAGACGTGTTCTTGCCTGATGAGGCATCTCTGTCGATGGAAACTTAGATGAAAGAAAGAAATAATTGTTCTGACGACTCGCTCTGTGGATATTTGGTTACTGTATCCTACTGAATGCTAATTCCCGCGTCGGCATGAAAAGTTCAAATCCGAGTAACCACCAATCAGAGAACCTAAACACTTATACATGCATCTCGACGTGACTGCATCATAAATATGGAAACATCACTAAGATACCATACAATAATCACCCACCCGAGCTTTGAGTAGGAAAGGCAAACGACGGTTTACACAGTTTAGAATAAGAGGCTAATACTAACCATGTCCTTAACCTTGAGATGTCCACCAGCAAACACGATGGCATTTGGAGGTGTGGCAACAGGTAACATGAAAGCGAACGAGCAAGAAATCGTAGCAGGAATCATGATGTACCAGGGATGAACCTCGATCGCTTCTGCCTAAGGAAAGTATTATCTTAGCCATACAATTGTGTTTACAAGACGCTGTTACGAGCCAGTGCCTGAGCAACGTTTTATCTTGTCTACTAGTTTGTTGCACTCGTATGAGTTAATGGGCGTTCCGGTGAAAATTGCTCTAGCATGTTGGATTGCCTCCATCTTGGTAGAAAATATGCTCGTATTTTTGTACTTGAAAATTGTGTATTCCTCCGTCAAAGCTCATAGTTTCCTTGAGCTTGGCTCGCGAAGACTTTTGCTTCTTTGAGCTTGTTATTTCCTGTAGTTCTTTATTTTGCAAGGTTCTTTACAACAAGATAATCAGGAAAAGGAAACTTACCAAGGAGGCCAGTATGGGAAGAAATATGGTGGCTGTTGCCACGTTGGAAGTGAATTCAGTGAATGTGGTGATCATGATGCAGACACACATCCCGATTGCATAACTTGGAATGGCATCGAGGTGCCTTAGCTGGGCACCAACCCACTCAGACAGACCTGAAACCTGACGGTGAGAGAGTCAATTAATCCAACATCCCCTTTGTAATCCGCATCTCTTTAAGTACTAAAGAAAAAAATAAAAGGGTATGGAATACCCAGATCCCCTCCCCCCTCCCCAGATGGGAGCTCAAGTATAGTTACACGAGTTGAATGCGAACCCATTCGCCTCGGGAGTCTAATTACAAGATAAGGAGCAAAACTCTTGGCTATCTTAACTAAATTTAATCTAAGACTACGATATTATGGCACTGTCTTAGCACCGGATTACATCTGTGTTAAGGGAGCACCCTCAACAAAGGTGCTTTGCACGCCATTGTTGTTGCCTGTATTAAAAAATTAAAAAACGTAATGACATTCCCCATGAACTTGAAACCAGTGATCTCTTGTGGCATGGACTGTGGCATGTGAATTTTGTTTTAACCAAAGTAAAGGATTGGTGTAGGCGTACATAAATTGTAACTTACTTTACAAGCTTCCGCCAGAGCAAATCCACTTCCAAGCAGCAGGACAAGGTGCCATGGAAACCTCTTGGACATCGTCTTAAATTGTAGGAGACAGGGTGGTGGCTTTCTCACTGTATGTTGGAAGAACAGCATATGTTCGTTCGGTGTATTTGTCTTTCTTGATTTTCTGATATTTCTAAATGCCTTATATCCTAAAACCATTCACCTCCTTTTTTGCCGCGAGGTTATTTACGATCGTACCCTGCTTAAAAGGGAGAGAAAGTAGGGAACTGCTCTTTATGTCAGCGACCATGTGTGAGTACATGCATACTCGTTGTCCTTTTCCAGCGGATAAAATAAAGGAGGCCGGTGCATAATCAGGACGGCTGTAGAAGGATTTTAAGGTGGTGTGACTGTGGCAAAGATAGAGTACAAGATCGGTATGCTGCAACAATAATCTTCCACATTCTTAAAGAAGCTTTCTTGAGAATAGTGGAATATGAACAAAGTTTAGTCCATCTTACCTGAGCCATCAGGAATAAATATCACGGGTTTTTGTGAAGGGAACACAAACAGACAAAAAGCCACAAACATGGCAGCCGTGGCGTCCCGAACGTAACTGAAATCAAAAACAAAAGAAAAAAACAAGTTTGAAGAGAAACAGAAAGAAAACAAGTGAGTCGTATGAGCGTATAAAAATTTGCAAGAAGAATAGAGATGCAAAGGAAAGCTTTCCTCTTCTTACCTTTCCTTCAGATAATAAACACTAACCCCTTCTCAAATATTATCGACCATCCTTCCATAAATTTCGGTTCACGAAAAAGCCACAGTAAGGCTAAGAGGATGAAGTGACCAAGGACGGCTTTCTCGGCAAACCTGCAAATGAATAGTTTGTCCAAATTAGGATTAACTAAAATAACTTACCCTTAATTTCCAAATAATCTTCTCCCCAATGCAAATGTCCTCCTCCCACTTTCCCTCCCCTCCCCCCCTTCCACTCCTCTCCCTCACTCCTCTCCCTAAAAAAAAAGCTTTCTTTCTATTTAAAAAATGGCAAACACCACAGCGTACACTATTGAGTTATGGATGCACGCGGGAGGTTGCTAAGCAGGAAAGAAGCGTAAGAGTCGCGCGAGGCAATAGCCGAGAGCGACTCTAGCTTCTTGAGTGCTTAGCAAACCTCCCAAGTGCATCCATAACTCAATAGTGTACGCTGTGGTGTTTACCATTTGTTTTATAACATAACATTAACACATTGTAGTAACACATTAACAAATCTTACGTGGACCAGAAAAAACAAGCGCGCGCAGAAAAATAGTCTTTGCATTTGCTCACGTCAGCAGCGTACACCCCTGGGCAAATGGGGGACGCTAAATTGACCAATCAGAGCGCGCGCTTTACTTTGGTTATGTTATAAAAATGTTTGGTTGAGTAATTGAACGGTTCGCTTTCGAAACTTTTTGCAGTGGCTATTACCAACAAAGTTGATAAAACAAATATATTGGACAATGTCTGGGCACAGGGCCTTAGGAGAGAATGAATCGGAACACTTCGAATTCAGTAACTAGTACATACGACATCGGTCCCAGTGCTCTGTACTGATCCACCAGAACCTGTCTTATTGCTTGAGTTGATTGGTTATCTTTCTCCCGTCCACTTGAAGACTTGCAAAAACACTTGCGGAAACTAAACACGGTTAACACAAAGGTTAATATTGGATCCTTAGGAGTTTGGCGTTTAGGAGCATCTCTCTAGGGAAGTTTGATTTAATGCCCTTGGATAAGTTATTAGTCCGGTGGGAGTTCCCCCTTTTTCACTTCTATTTCAGTTTTCATACTTTTACCAACGGATAACTGGAGCTTATATGTAAACCTGGCCAAGAACACTAAACTAGTCAATAAATCCATTAGCTCCTAGAGCCTTATAATTTCACTGGTGAGACTGCCGGTCCGAAGAACTGTTCTCTTCTACTCCAGCAAAGGGTCAAGTGTAGGTGTTCCAGTTATTGAATAATGACGTTAAAAAGAAACAGAATGCAAATTTGGGATTGATATCAGTTTCTGAGCAGCTGCGCATCTACCCCTCCTCTTATCCAACATTCACTAGTTATCAGTTACCTGTTGCTCTGCTACTGACACTAATCCCAAATTTTTACTTCTGGGACAATTTTCAATTCAATGTAAAACACTCAATCCGGGACAAATTTAGAAAACTGCATCGGTTTTGCTTCCCTCTTTTCTTGTTTGGTCTAACAAACTCGCACCACAACGATTACCAGTTAAATGCAAGATTTGATTACAAGCATGTTCGTAGACTTTTTGAGGCAACGAATTTGCCACGAGTTCTCATTACCTTCTTGTGAAATTAACTTTGTCCTTTGGCCTGATATCTTACAACTTTTAATGAAAATGGGTTTCAACTATTAATTCGAGCATACTTGAAACCGAGGAATAAGAACTGAATCCAGATCCAGGCCACAAACAGGAGAATCACCATTTGAGGGAAAGCGTAACCGAACCATGAGGCAAAGCTAAATCCTCCGCTTTTAGGAAAAAGACTGAAATAAGAAAATAGTTGTTAGTATGAAATTGTAAGAGTCTGTATGGGAAGAAGAGGATTATAGGAACGGAATATGTGGGAAGAAGTAGATTGTGGGAGCCCGTATAGGAAGAAGAGGATTGTGGGAACTTGTATAGGAAGAAGAGAATTGGAGAAGCCTGTTTAGGATAAAGAAGATTGTAGCAAGCTTTATAGGAAGAAGAGGATTGTGGGAACTTGTATAGGAAGAAGAGAATTGGAGAAGCCTGTTTAGGATAAAGAAGATTGTAGCAAGCTTTATAGGAAGAAGAGGATTATGGGAATGTTTATAGGAAGAAGAAGATTGTGTGAACCTGTAAGTTCATTCTTGTCTGCTTATTTCTTATTCGCTTTTGTAAGTCACTTACAGGCCTGCCTGTCCACCAAACACGAGATTTGGACCAGTTCCCGTTAGGGTGGCTGTACCACCAATGTTTGCAGCATAGGCGACAGCTAACATCATGGCCTTGCACATTCTGTTAAAATATCGAGTTTCTGCCTCCTGCAGGTCAAAAAGTATACTGGTCTGTAGGTCTATAAATGGCAAATAGCATTTAGATTTGCTTTTCACTAGTAGAGTGATCTACTACATCCGCTGGCTATGCCGCCACGCCGAATGAGAAACAAGGCATGCTGCCAGATACCCTACATATTTTTGTACGGTACAAGGCAGCCGAACACAGACTAGGTTTTGAGCAGCGAGATATAAGCATGTGCAAATGAATTTACTGTTCTTGTTGATTCTAATGCTGTATTGAGCTTCCAGAGATCCTTAGTCAGACTGTTATCTTCCCCCTCCTCAACAGTTGACCGCACCGTAATCGAAACTTGCAATTAATTAGAATTAATTTTCTTGCCAGTTGCGAAACTCACATTTCTGTCTTCGTTCACTTTCAATAAGTTTGCAGTAGCCATTCTGAAATTCGAAAATAGGGAAAATTTTTCAATTAAGCCTGGATAAAAGATGAAAAACCCATACGACCAGTAAATTTAAAGACGAAAAGCATTTATATTTCAGTAACTGAACAGTATCTAAAGGACACCAATTATTTTTAATCGAGTAATGGAGTAATGGAACCCAATGGAACCCTCTAATGGAGTAAAGAACCCAATCGTTATTTTGTCAAGAAAAGGTTTTGTTATCAGTTATGAGTCAAATTTAATGCTTCGCGGAGAAGTTTTAATACTAGCAAATCTACCTGTCTTCCCTCTTTAAGCAAAAGTCGCTAGTTTAATCTTCGTCTAATTCTTTTGCTACTTTATGTTCCCGCACTGCGACCACCTTCTCTTCCTTGTTTTTGTTCATTTCGATGAGCTCCAAGTACATATTCTGCGGTAATATAGAATCAATCCAGTAATCAGATGAGGTTAACTTAAACTGACTGGCTGACAGACGGACTGCTTGACTGACGAACTGACTGACTGACTGACTGCTTGATTGACTGATTGACTGATTGACTAATTGACTGACTGGCTGACTGATTGACTGACTGATTGACTGACTGACTGACTGATTGACTGACTGATTGACTAATTGACTGACTGACTGACTGATTGATTGACTGATTGACTGATTGCCTGACTGACTTACTGACTGATTGATTGACTGATTGACTGATTGAATGATTGACTGACTGATTGACTGATTGACTGACTGATTGATTGACTGATTCACTGATTGACTGACTGACTGACTTACTGATTGATTGACTGATTGACTGACTGACTGACTGATTGATTGACTGATTGACTGACTGATTGAGTGATTGACTTATTGACTGACTGACTGACTGATTGATTGACCGATTGAATGACTGACTGATTGATTGACTGATTGATTGACTGATT